CTTGGAGTGGTAACTGAATTCTTATACAGCCAGTCAGTCTCCAGGTGCGGCCTCACTCCATAAGCAGTGGCCCACCCAAGGAAGGAAAAGACCCTCATGATACATTTTAACAGCTAATAGGCCATTACCTGAGAGGTTTTTTTTCCAGCTTTAGGCTACACACAGAGCAATCCAAGCTTTAAATAATAACAAAATTTAAGAGTTACTTTTGTTATACCAAAGCGTTTAGTCAACACTTGCCCCAGCCTTTTATCGAATAGCAGTTGACTTATTCATCCTGAGCCATGGAACCATAGCCCCACCCCCACCCCCCACCCCCATAACTCCTTTTAACTGCCAGACTCCAGTAGTGAGTGGTATCTGTTGGTAAAGAAATACATTCCACAGCTATTATGGCTTAAATGTGAAATATCCCTAGAGGCTCATTTGTGGAACACTGGGTTCTGAAAAGGTGCCTATCTTCAGAGACTGTGGAGCCTTTTGGACATTGGGCTTAGCTGGCAGATATAGGGCCACACAGATAGACCACTCTGAGTATCATGTGTTTGCCCCTCTTCTGGTTTGGCTCTCTGCATCCTAATCTACTGAGATGTTAACAAAGCTCACCACAACAGAGCAATCCCTGGCTCCTGTGTCTTCTGTGCTACAATGGGTATGTTTAAGAGGCAAGATCCAAAATAAACCAGCCCTCCTTTGTTTCTGTTCAGCACTTTGCCTCAGCGATGAGAATAGTAACTAATATAGTGGCCCAATGGATAAGAGACAACTTCAGGATCCAGCAGCTCCAATTACTTGCAGTGCTCAACCGGTGGTTTTTGCCAGACAGCAAAACCAAGCCCAGTGTTCCATCTGAGTTCAGCAGTTCATGTTGCTGGAGACCCTGAAAGCAAGGTGTGCCCGGCCAGGGCATTGCACACTGGACTCAGCAGACTCTAGGGTAGACTACACAGTGAGGTTCTATCCACAGGGTTCAAAAACACCTGCAGGCACAGAAATGTGATTGTCTCCTAAAATAAGTTACACTGATGTAAGAAATATAAGGACAAAAAATCGTAGCCGCTCATATGCAGACAACTATATGGAGGTCACAAAAAATGCTGAAGCTAATAGACAATTCTGTAACGGTATAAAAAATAAAACTAACATAACGTTTCCACATACATATAGCACACATTCCATAAAAAATGAATTACAAAGACAAACCCATTTATAATACCTTCAATAATAAAATATCTATTAATAAACTTAATAGGATGAAAAATGTCTACAATGAAAACTATTGTAGAACTAAGTAGAAGAACTTGGAGAGGATACAAACACTATGGAAAGATAGTCCATACTCATGGGTTGGAGGCATCTATTGTGTTAAAACATCCATGCAATGCCTATCAAAATGTCAAAATATTGGAATGCCAAAAATCCTGAAATTTGTAAGAAACCACAGGAGTCCCCCAAATAGTCAAATCTATCTTGAAAACTAAACTGAAGGCATCACAGTATTTGACTTGAAAACACACTACAAGTCTGCAGAAACTAAGACAGCACGATACTGGCATAAACCCATACTCATTGACCAAAGCTCAGAAATAAACCCCACACATTTACAACCAACTGCATTGATCACAGGAGCAGAGAGCATAGCACTGCAGGGGCAGGCTCCTCAATAAACGCTGAACGGTGCTGTGTAGACAGTCACATATGCTGAGGAATCACACCAGACTGTCTATCCCTCACTGTTACAGAGGTCAACTGTGAATGGACTAAAGGACTTAAATATATGGTGGAAACTGCTGTAACTACTGGAAGAAAGCGTGGGAAATTCTTCAAGACATTGCCCTGGGCAAACAATTTTGGATATCACACAGAACATACACAACAAAAGCCCAAGTTGACAAATGGGATTAAATGAAGCTCAAAAGCTTCTGCAGGGTAAAATAAAATGAAAAAGCACCAGTGCTAAGTGATAACTTCAGAATTAAAAAAACACTTTTAAACTGAGTATCTGATAGGATGTAATATCTATACTATGTAAGGAACTAAAATCACTCAATAGAAAGAAATGACCTAATAACCCAATAAAACTATAGGATAAAGTTCTGAATTTCTCAAATGAAGATATGAATAGATACGTTAAAAAGAAAAAGTTCAGCATCCATAACCATCAGAGAAACTCAAATCAAAACTGCAAGGAAATAGTACATCACCTGGTAAGAGTGGCTATTATCAACAAGGCAAAAATCAACACACTCTGGCCAGGATACAGAGGAAGCGAAGCACACTATTGGTGGGAATGTAAGTTAGTACAGCTTTGTTGTTGTTGTTTTTTTTTGGTTTTTCGAGACAGGGTTTCTCTGTGTAGCTTTGCGCCTTTCCTGGAACTCACTCTGTAGCCCAGGTTGGCCTCGAACTCACAGAGATCCGCCTGGCTCTGCCTCCCAAGTGCTGGGATTAAAGGTGTGTGCCACCACTGCCCAGCAGTACAGCTTTTACAGAAACAGAAAAGGCTGGAAGGAAAACTACTTTACAAGCCTGCAATCCCACCACTAGGAAATTAATCAATATGTTAAAGGAACTCTGGAACTCCCAAGTTCACTGCAGCCCTATTTGCAATTCATGGATGATGGAAATGGGGTACACATACACAATGGGATCATATTTGGCCATAACAAAGGATAGAATCCTTTCATTTGTGACAATATGGATGGAACTGGAGATCACTGTGGTGAGTAAAATGGGAAAGACAAATATTACATGAGCTTGCTCATATGTAGGATCTAAAAATGCATGGTTTTATGGAAGCTGAAGGTAAAATTATGGTTATCAGAGGCTGGAAAGAGTAGTAGGGATGGGGTGTTTAATGACATCATGGGGTAGATAAGTGAACCACAATGCATAGCATATTTCAAAATGGCTGAGAGGATTTTGAATGCATTTGCCCTGAAGAAGAAATAAAGAGTCTGAAGTGCTACATATACTAATAACCTTGATTTGATTTTTATACAAAATTTGCATGAAGCAAAACATCACTTTGTTTTGAAGGTGCATATTATTATAGGGTAATTAGAAGTTTTCAATTTAAATTTTTTAAAGTCAGCCTGTTGTTTGAAGGGCTCCCTCCACAATGAAAAGAACTAATTTCCAAAACTCTCATACTTTTAGCCTCCTATTTCCCCTCACCAGCATGACTTCACTGATACATAGTTCCTCATTGCCATTTCCCTATGAACTTCCAGAATAACTAGAAATACTTCTACATCTATTCCAAATTCTGAAAATTGAACTGGATTAATGAATAGGGTTGTTTCTGACCCAAGGCATCTAGCACTTCCTTTTGACTTAATACATCACCTCCCAAGAAGCCTGATCCCCATCATAGCAGCCACACCATAAGGGTGGACAGTGGAGTCAGGTCAGGTGACATCACCATCAGACGATAAGCATGAATACAATGTTAAGCCACGGATTTTCATTCACAAAAGTTGGAATGAGGGCAGAGCAACTCCAAAAATCCACTTCCTTAAGGAAGGGCTCATTTTCTGTATAAAAATACAGCTGTCTAGGGATCTCTCAAAAGATCCAGGAGTCCAGAGAGCTTCATCATCTGAGGTAAGACTCTCCACTTTGAACTTTCTAATAGTCACTGTGTGATACTGATCTTGGTTGGGAACGCTTGACAACCTAAATATTTGTCCACTTTATTTTCACTGCAGATGTTTTCACTTACCTCTCAAATTACAGCTGCAATATAAGGATCAGAAAGGGGGGACGTAAAGAGCAGCATTAGGCTAACAGGAAGTTGTGGGTGAGACAAGATGGCCAGGCACTTCAGCTCCTTCTAATCTTATTGAGAATTTTCATCATCAAAGGCACTGCTCTATGCATTTGGATGCTCAAATCTTAAAAATCTTCTTTGCTCCATGAACCTATAATCTACCATTAATATAATACAGGTTTTTACTGGAAATGGAAGAGTCAGATTCTTGCTAGGACAAAAGAATGAAGAAGACATGGAAACTGGCAGAGGCCTGGGGTGGGAGGCCATGATGGGGGAGCCTGTATGAGCAAGTAGCAGTGCAGTGAGAACTCATAATAAACAAATGTAGAAGGAAAATGTGATTTGGGACTCAAATGTGAATCTTGCAAGCATGAGTGGAGGTTCACAAGGAGCCTTCCTATGAGAGTTTCACTCTAGACGTTTTTGTCCTACTATTCTCTGAAATTTTTGAAAACCTAGAGGTTCACAGGAGGCCGAGGAGCTTACTGATGGTTTGAGTTCTTCTATTCTGTTCATGGTCTGTACATAGGTTAAAAAAAAAAAAAAAAAACACCAAGGAGAAAAAAATTAAAAAGGGTCTCTGGTAACACAGATGTAAAAAACAAAATAACAAATTCAAGAGACTAGTGGAGAGGAAGCAGTTTTAATGTACCATTCTGCAGAGAGGGATGCCAGCAGAGAGAGAAGACCAAGGTGTCCACAGTGCTGGACTAGTACAAGACAACATCTTGAGAAATTCCTGACCTTTCTTCCCGTAGGTCAAGGCTTGCCCCCTTCCTAAATTCGCTATTCTTTTTGTTTAGGACATAGAGCCTTACCTAATGAAAAATTTGCAGCTGGAGGCTGCCCCCTTTTCTGCTTATGAGCTCAGTCACAAAGCAGACTGCCTGTAACTATCTATCTTCCAGACAAGTAGTTACCAACTGCCAGCCAGAGGAGAGAGTGTTCTCTGAGATCTGTAACTCTGATGAATGTGAAGTCTGCTTCAAAATGAAATTGACTATAACCATTTATTTATTATGCAGAGATGATCAAATCACCTTAATGTTTTGCCTTAAAAATAAGTAACAGCTATAAAAGCAACCTATGATTTCCATCCAGCTCAGGAAAATAGAAGAGTCTTTAATTTATAGGAGAAAAGCAAAGAAAAAAATTAGGATTCTACCAATTCCTTCAAAACTACCCAATCAGTTGTCCTGTCTCTAGGGTCAGCATCCTTTGAAGCATGAGTTCCTACCAGCAGAAGCAGCCCTTTGTCGCACATCCTCAGCCTCAACAGCATCAAGTGAAGCAACCTTGTCAGCCTCCACCACAAGGACAATCTGTTCCCATAACCACCACGGAGCCATGCCGCACAGATGTTCCACAACCAGGAAACACCAAGATTCTGGAGCCATGCAATACCAAAGTGCCTGAGCCAGGCTGTACTGTCGTCCTTGAGCCAGATTATACCACAATGCCTGGACCAAGCTCCACCAAGATCCCTGAGCCAGATTATACCACAATGCTTGGACCAGGTACTACCAACATCCCTGAGCCGGATTATACCACAATGCCTGGACCAGGCTCTACCAACATCCCTGAGCCGGATTATACCACAATGCCTGGACAAGGCTCTACCAACATCCCTGAGCCAGATTATACCACAATGCTTGGACCAGGTACTACCAAAATCCCTGAACCAGATTATACCACAATGCCTGGACCAGGCTCCACCAAGATCCCTGAGCCAGATTATACCACAATGCTTGGACCAGGTACTACCAAAATCCCTGAACCAGATTATACCACAATGCCTGGACCAGGCTCCACCAAGATCCCTGAGCCAGATTATACCACAATGCTTGGACCAGGTACTACCAAAATCCCTGAACCAGATTATACCACAATGTCTGGACAAGGCTCCACCAAGATCCCTGAGCCAGATTATACCACAATGCTTGGACCAGGTACTACCAAAATCCCTGAGCCAGATTATACCACAATGCCTGGATCAGGCTCCACCAAGATCCCTGAGCCAGATTATACCACAATGCTTGGACCAGGTACTACCAAAATCCCTGAACCAGATTATACCACAATGCCTGGACCAGGCTCCACCAAGATCCCTGAGCCAGATTATACCACAATACTTGGACCAGGTACTACCAAAATCCCTGAGCCAGATTATACCACAATGCTTGGACCAGGTACTACCAAAATCCCTGAACCAGATTATACCACAATGCCTGGACCAGGCTCCACCAAGATCCCTGAGCCAGATTATACCACAATGCTTGGACCAGGTACTACCAAAATCCCTGAACCAGATTATACCACAATGCCTGGACCAGGCTCCACCAAGATCCCTGAGCCAGATTATACCACAATGCTTGGACCAGGTACTACCAAAATCCCTGAACCAGATTATACCACAATGCCTGGACAAGGCTCCACCAAGATCCCTGAGCCAGATTATACCACAATGCTTGGACCAGGTACTACCAAAATCCCTGAGCCAGATTATACCACAATGCCTGGACCAGGCTCCACCAAGATCCCTGAGCCAGATTATACCACAATGCTTGGACCAGGTACTACCAAAATCCCTGAGCCAGATTATACCACAATGCCTGGACAAGGCTCCACCAACATCCCTGAGCCAGATTATACCACAATTCTTGGACCAGGTACTACCAAAATCCCTGAGCCAGATTATACCACAATGCTGGGGCCAGGTACTACCAAAATCCCTGAGCCAGATTATACCACAATGCCTGGACCAAGCTCCACCAACATCCCTGAGCCAGATTATACCACAATGCTGGGGCCAGGTACTACCAAAATCCCTGAACCAGATTATACCACAATGCCTGGACCAGGCTCCACCAAGATCCCTGAGCCAGATTATACCACAATGCTTGGGCCAGGTACTACCCAAATCCCTGAGCCAGATTATACCACAATGCCTGGACCAGGCTCCACCAAGATCCCTGAGCCAGATTATACCACAATACTTGGACCAGGTACTACCAAAATCCCTGAGCCAGATTATACCACAATGCCTGGACAAGGCTCCACCAACATCCCTGAGCCAGATTATACCACAATTCTTGGACCAGGTACTACCAAAATCCCTGAGCCAGATTATACCACAATGCTGGGGCCAGGTACTACCAAAATCCCTGAGCCAGATTATACCACAATGCCTGGACCAAGCTCCACCAAGATCCCTGAGCCAGATTATACCACAATGCCTGGGCCATGCTCTACCAACACCACTGAGCCAGCTTGCACCATGGTTCCTGAGCCATGTTCCACCAATATCCCTGACTCAGGTTGTATCGTGGTTTCTGGGCCATGCTCTACCAATGTCCCTGAACCTGGCTATGTGAATGCCTCAGAGTCCAACTATACCAAGGTCCCTAATCAGGGCTATACCAAGGTACCTGGTCAGGGATATTCTAAGGTACCAGAGCCATGCCAATCCAAGGTTACTGAGGTATACCCCACAAATGTCACTCCAGAATTGGCTCAGCAGAAGACTAAGCAGAAGTAACACAGTCCATAGTCAGCCAGGCCCTTGAAGAGCCAACCACCTGCTGCTGAAGTCTTTCCTGTCTGCTTCTTTCCATATTGTCTAGAGACAGTAGTTTGCTGCGTTCTCTATTGTACCCTAAAAATGCATGCCATGGTGTCTTCCCTCACACCCTCAAGGTGTCTTTAGAGCCTCTGAGTTAAACATGAAGTCTCAGTGCTTTGAATGGTCTTTGATTCCTCAGAGTTCATCTATGGGATTCTTTATGGGGAAAAAAAATGCATGTTTCCTGCTTTGACCCATTAAATTGCTTTTAACGCCACTCTTGCCTCTGTGTGATACATGCTGAATCTTTCCCCCTCCTTTGCCTCCCTTTGTGAGTCAAGACCTATATGCTGATAAGGATATATCCTTGGTACATTGGTACAGATGTCATCTCATTAGCATAAACTGTCACAGTGTACTCCTAGGAGGCTGTAAAGACACCTAAGAGGCTCCCGTGGAAGAGTGCTCGGATATTGTTTACTGGGACTCAAAACCTGTTACTTCAGAAAACTATTTTGAACAAGGTCCTTCTTCTGCACATGACTGAGCCATACCTAAGTGTTTTCTCTGCCCTAAGCCACTACCTCTCATACTCAGCACTGCACCTGGAAGTCACAATTCACTGGACACACTTCAATATCAGTTTTCCTCTTTGTTCTCTCATTTTTCCTTTTTTATTTAGCCCTGATACATCTCAACATGCTCTTTCCCTGCACATCTCTACACATTCTCATGATCAACTGCACAAATTCTACCCTCATTAACTCAGGCAATGCTCCCTTTCTCCAGACACCCAGCACATAAGGAGTCCTCCATCTGGGGACACAAGAAGAAAGGAGGCATAGTGCACACCACCTTGGAGAGGTCTGTTTCCTCTAGGAATCATGATACTCTGTGCCCTGGTCATATAAACATGCACATGCTATGCCCTCCCTCTGCATATCCCACCCTCCTTCTTAATAGTCTTATCTGTCCAGTAACAATGCACAGAACATTTTATCCAGTGATTAAAACAGGGGTTGAGCTTTACGCAATGACATGGAATCCACAATCCAGATGAGGGAATAAGTATGTCCCAAGTTAGGAAAGTGCAGGTCACTGAGCTGTGAAATCCCAGGAATGAAAGGTGGACTATAAGAACACTGAGTACAGCTGCTCCATGGTTCCATGAAAGAAGATAAGTATGTGTTTGCCTCACACCTAAAGCTGAGAGTCTCAGCTCCTTGCTGTCTCCTACAACACGACCTTGGTTTCAGGGATGGCAAACAGGTGAGTCTGGGTGCAGAGGACAAGATAATGGAGAGCCATCTTCAGAAGCAGACAAAACATAAGTTTTAGAAGAACTTCAGTAGTCCATGGGGAACAGGCTGTGTTTTGGGCAAGTTCCACTACGTCAGAGGTATGAGTCAGGTGACAAGCAGAAACAGCGAGTTAGACAAGCACTTCAAGTAGATTTCACAAGAGTTCCTGAGACATATGGAAGCTCAAGGAGAAAACTCACCCTCCAAATCATCACACGGTGATGAGAAGTTGTTAGATATGCAGGAGAGGACATCACCCCTCACACCTTTTAGGTACATAAGTGCTGAGGTGGCTTCACATCACCACTGATTTCAATGGTGGAAAAGTCTAGAGATGAGTGCAGGATGAATCACTGTTAAGTAAGCTAATGCTAAGTACAGATGCACACTGTGTGATATGCAGCTGTTGTGAATATAGAATAATATACTTTCATTGATACTATCATTTGGAGCTTCTTTTTTTCAAAATATTTTTATTATATATACTATATATACATATAAGTTACCTGTTAATTATATATATATATATATATAAAAGTTTCCTGTTAAGGTAATTTAAAGTGTACAGTTCTATGGCATCAAGTCAATCTGCAGTGTTCACCTTTGTTAAAATACATGCAAATGAGCTTATGAAACATGAAGCTCCCTATGCTAAATTCAGCAAAATATAAATGGTGGTTGTTCTTGTCAACTTTTTGTTAATGTTCATTTTTGTCTGTCCTTCAGAAGAATTTGCATCATGTGATGCTATCTTGTACTTATTTTATGACTTTTGCTGTAATACTTAATATAAGCCAGTGGAGTTATCAGTAAGCTAAAGGAAACACATGTGTTCTGCCCTCTCAAAACCATTCCTGGTTTCTTCAGCACAGATCCCCTACGAGGAGCTCAAGGATACTCTAGAGTCCTCGCTGAAAGAGTCCCTGGTAGTTTTCCTTTACACACACACACACACACACACACACACACACACACACACACACACACTTTTTGATTATTACATTTTATTTGTTTCCTGTGTATTTGCACATGGGTGTATGAGTACCACGCAGTGTGTGGAGGTCAGAAGACAACCTTCAGAAACAGATTCTTGTCTTCTATGTGGGTCCCGGAAATCAGACTCAGGTTGTCTGCCTTGGTGACAAGCCAGCCCCTTTACCCATTGAGCTTCTCCCTGGGTATCCTTCCATCTTTACATCCCAGTCTTCTCTTGTGGAACTAGGAAGATCCAACAGCCACTGACATTAGTAGCCCAAGAATTTCCAGTTCAACCAGCTGGCCAGGCCATTTCTATGAAGTTCCTTTGTTTTCATTAAACTGTGACAATTCCTGTCGCTAAAGTGGTTATGCTTCTCTGAATTTTAGCCTTCTCTACCCTATTGACCCCTTAATGGCCAGAGAAGATGTTTACCCATCACCTATCATTCTTTAACTGACTACTCCCTAGTTACCCCAGCAACGACCAACTACAAATCAAAAGGGGGAATTTCCAACCTCCTTCCCCCACCACTTCCTGTGAAAACTGGAAGAAGAACCCACACTGTGCCTCATGGGCCAGACCTCTCCTCAGAGCTCACTCCTGCCCACACTATGCTATTGCCTGTCTGTCTGTGGCCTTAATACTCATCTCATTAGCTTCTTACTCCAAAAGATAATCTTTCCTCGGTGTCCCCTGAGAACCCTAAACTCAAAACCTTTCAAACTCGTTCTCTCCCACCAGGCTTTTCTTCTGTGATTAGCAGACTCTCTCCCATCCCCAATGTTCGGCTAATGTTTGGAGAGCAAAGTGCTGCTTCTGCATGAAAACCCTGAACTTCCAGCCGAACCATGTGTACACAATTTGGCAAATGTCAGGTTGACATTTCAGATAGCTGGATCACTATCTTAGCTTTTACACATAAATAAATAACAACTGATTCCCCCCCCATGGCTCTGCTTTGTTCTCTATGGCTTTGTTTCCTCTTTCTTCTGCAACCATAACCTCCATGGTTGATAAAAAAAAAAAGTCTATTTTCTGGTTCAGGTAAAACCAAATTATTGAAGCAGTTTCCAGTACATCTGTATTTCTGACTGAGAAAAGTCTCTAGGTGGGTCTAGGTCAATCACTCTCCCAGTCTAATCCTCAGCCCAACTTCTCAAGTTCCATTCCCTCTTCCCCTCTGCGCTCCATTGTGCCCTAGAGTTGATCTCTTGCCTCATATTTACCACCTCACAAACTTAAAAAAAAAAAAGTCAACTACCTAGCCTGAGCAATTGATCAAATGTGCCACAACCTAGAGCAAACTGCTTACACCTCCCACGCTGCCCTCACCAAATTTAGGATTCCTGGATACACATGGGATCTCTTCTGGCTTGAAGCCCATAAAGGCAGGAGTCTTTGCTGTCTAGCTCAGGGCTCCTCTATTGACTCAGAACCCAACCCACCGCCCAACAAATGGTTGGAGTCATTTAATGTTGGCTCAAGTGCTGAGAGGTTTATCCCTTTGCTGAATAATGTGGTGGATTTGATGACAGTGTCTGCACTGCTTTCTTCTAACCAGGTCCCTCCTGTACTGAGAACGCCCTGGGGCCCGAGTCTTCCCTAAGAACCTCACCACTCTCTCTCCTCCCTAATCCTAAATTACTTTCCTTTGGGAGTGACAAAATGCCCGCAGTAGCAACCTAATACCCGCCCTCTCACTTTCTCTGAAAATCCTCCCCTTTCCTCTCTCTCTTTCTGTTTTTTTTTTCCTCTCTCTCTTTCTAACACACACACACACACACACACACACACACACACACACACACACACACACACTTAATTAAAAAACAAAACAGAACAAAGCTAGCACGGCTTGTAACCAAGCTTGATAATAAGCCTGACAAATTGAGTTTGATGCCTGGAAGCCACATGATAGAAGGAAAGAACCAGCTCCTGCATATTGTCCTCTGACATCTACAGGGACACCATGGCAAATGTGCACACACACAACAAAAGAAATATTTAAAAAAATTTAGGACTTATTTTTATTTTTATCTGTGTATGGGTAGTGTGTGCGTGTGTGCGCCTGTGTGTGTGTGTGTGTGTGTGTGTGTGTGCGTGTGTGTGTGTGTGTGAGAGAGAGAGAGAGAGTGTGTGTGTGTGTGTGTGTGTGAGAGAGAGAGAGAGAGAGAGAGAGAGAGAGAGAGAGAGAGAGAGAGAGAGAGAGAGAAATGTGTTCAAGTGGTGTCAGCTGAGGTCAAATGAGGCTTTTTAAATCCCTTGCAGTCACAGTTATAGGTGGTTATCAGCTGCCTGATGTGTGTGCTGGGAATCAAATGCATGTGCTCTGGAAAAGCAGTAAGTGCTCTGAACCATTGAGCCATTCCCCCAGCCCCAAAATCCTTTAAAGCAACTTGATGGGGGGAGAGTTTATTTGGGGCATGATTTCAGAAGGTATAGTGCATCACAGTGATAAAGCATGGTGGGTTGGTTCTATTGCGGCAGGAGCATGTGACAAAGCCCTTGACATGGCAGCAAAACCAGGAAGCAAAGAGATAGACCAAAACCAAAAGGGGATATAACTTTCAAAGGCCCCTTTGGTAGCCTAAGTCCTACAGCTAAACCCCACATTCCAAGAGTTCTACAGTCTCCCAAAGTATGATGCTGGCTGGGGACCAAGTGTTTAAACACTTGAGATTGTGGGAGACATTTCA